AAAAAAAAAAAAAAAAAAAAAGAAAGAAAGAAAAGAAAAGAAAAAGAAAAAAAGAGAATATGGGGGATTCAATGCTTTATGCACAGGGAACATTTTACTTCCAAGTTTTGGAGAGAGACTGTAAACGACAAGAATGACGGTAGAATTAAGCTGACTCTGGGAAAATGGACTAATGACCTTAACCTGGTCTTCCAGAGATTTGCCTGTTTCATCGTCATCTTCCAAGTCAGGTAGGTCCTGAAAGAGCAAGTGAGCCGCACATCACCAGGGAGGCACATGCGCTGTCAACGTTCTGATAGGCACGATAAAGGCAAACACGCAGTCAACCCAGCCTTAGTTAAAGTTACTCAAATCACTTGGGTGACTCCTCTGCCTGTTCCCCACCCAAAGAAACTCTAGGCACACACAAAGCAAGCGTTGCCACTTCAGGTGTCTGGATCTAATAAAAGAAAGGGAACTTGCAAGATGTGACATATTTAAAGAATTTCCACATCTTTTTTCTGTTTCTTTATTAAGAGATACAGTCCGTTCATCTTAGGGGAAATAATGGGACCCAAACCAAATGCACCTCTGTACAAACTAGTCCAAAAACTCTATGTGGTATAAAAGTAATATATTTTGTATCTCCCCAAAACTGGTAGGACTTTTTTGTATTGTGGGTGTTTGTTTGGTGTCTTTGTGCATAAAAACCAGTGCGTGGTTGTATGCATGAACTGGAGCCACACTGCCTGGGTTGTTACTCCCCCACCACCATTTTCTAGCTGTGTGGCTTTGGGCAAGTTGCCTAACCTCTCTGTTTCTCATTTTCCTCATCTGGGAAATTGGGATGATAATAGTATGTACCACTTAGAGTTGTAGGAAGGGTTACATCAATCAATACAAGTCGTACTTAGAATGGTGTCACGCATATAATAAGAAACCAACTAATATTAGCTATTAGTGTTGTAGTTATCTATATGGTCAGTTCTCAAATGTGAGAGATAAATTGCCCAATTATGTTTCTTTCTTTCTTTTTCTTTTCTTTTTTTTTTTTTTTTGAGATAGAGTCTCACTCTGTCGCCCAGGCTGGAGTGCAGTGGTGAGATCTTGGATCACTGCAACCTCCGCCTCCTGGGTTCAAGCAGTTCTCCTGCCTCAGCCTCCGAAGTAGCTGGGATTACAGACACCTGCCACCATGCCCAGCTAATTTTTTTTTTTTTTTTTTGTATTTTTAGTAGAGACGGGGTTTCACCATGTTGGCCAGGCTGACTCCTGACTTCATGTGATTCACCCACCTCGGCCTCCCAAAGTGCTGGGATTACAGGTGTGAGCCACCACACCTGGCCTTTGTTTCTTTTTTTACATAGCTCCAGAAAACTAGAAACCCACTATGAATTCTGACTGTGATCACTTTAACTCTTACTGGGCCATGTGAAGTCCTGAAGTTTGGACATTAGAAACACCAGTTTAGGAGAAGTTTAACAAGGAAGTGGGGAGGGGGCCACCTCTCCAAGGTATGAGGTCAGAGGTGCCCAGAAATGCCTCTCCTATTCCTGCCCCATCAAAGGACAGTTCTTGAGGGGTTGTGACACAATGTGTGAATTCCCATGGTACCATTCTTGTGGGCCTAAGCATTTGGGACTGTCATCAAAATGGGAAGAGCTTCAGGAAAGAGTGACAGGCAAGGCTGGGATCAAACATTCACTCAAGCGAATGGGACACTGAACCGTCACACCTCCATGAGTCAGAAGGCCAGTGAGAGCCTGAGCTACCTGCCGGGTGGTGTCCAAGGAGGAGGAAAAACATACAATGTATAATGACACAATGTAACTCTGATGATACAATGTAACCCTCACCACCAATTTGGATAAGGCAACTAGTCAGAACTGCTTAGCAAGGTAGCTTCTTTAGCAAAAACGAATGGAGTGTGGTAGACATGGCTCAAGGGTAGTGATTTGGGCCCAGGCTCCCCAAACTTGAGCATGCACGTGCACGAATCACCTAGGGCAGTGCATTAAAGTTGGATTCTGATCAGTAGGCCTGGGGTGAGGCCTGGGAGTCTGCATTTCTAACCAGCGCCCCAGCAATGCCAGGCCTGCCGGCCCAAGGACCACACTTGGGGTATCGAGCATCTCCAGAGTTTGCATCTGATCACCTATTTTACTAACAGTAAAACTGATACTTATCTCCAAGATTAAATACTTCACGTACATCGATGCAGAATGTCTCCTTTGTCTCCAGTCTAACGGTTTCTAAATCTTCCATTCTCGTCCCATCAGGTCCTGTAACGAATCCACCCTCAGCGGCCACAGCCTGGGGGGTCCGCTCTAAAGAGCAACAACAAGTCTTGGAGTTAGTTTAACACACAGCAGGCAGATGGACAAGCCCACGGTGAAGAAGGGCTCCCAGGGTCCGGGCGCGGTGGCTCATGCCTGTAATCCCAGCACTTTGGGAGGCCAAGGTGGGTGGATCCCAAGGTCAGAAGTTCAAGTCCAGCCTGGCCAACATAGCAAAAACCCTGTCTCTATTAAAAATGCAAAAATTAGCCGAGTGTGGTGGCGGGCGCCTGTAGTCCCAGCTACTCGGGAGGCTGAGGCAGGAGAATCACTTGAACCCAGGAGGTTGAAGTTGCAATGAGCCAATATCATACCATTGCACTCCAGCCTGGGTGACAGAGTGAGACTCCTCTGGAAAAAAAAAAAAGATGAAAACCCTCTTCAGGGCCCAAAGGCCAGCCTCCATGACAGAGGCCGCAGCTCACGACAGGCTTCCGTCTGCTGGGAAAAGAATGGAACAGCTACCCCTTTCTATAACCTGGAGGCGAATCCCATGAGATGAAGAGCACCATCCAGGAGTCAAAGCAGCAGCCACAGGAATCTTGGAAACGGCAGCCGCTGTGGGGCGACAAGTGATGCCAGCAGGGGCGACTCGCTCAGAGACGGAGGGGCAGGCTTCACAGCCCACCGCCGGCCTGTCCCTCAGCCAGGCACACGCCCCTCCTGCTGCACAAGGGTCAGGGCTTGTGCAATTTCATAACTGCAAGATCACCTGAGGAATGTGGAATCGTGATGGGCCCCGTCCTCGTCCAGGCCCCTACTTTTCCTTTTTATTTACTTATTTGTATTTTTTTGAGACAGGGTCTCACTCTGTCACCCTGGCTGGAGTACAGTGGTGTGATCTCAGCTCACTGCAGCCTCAACCTCCTGTCCCCTACCCCTCCCACCTGAGCCTACAAGTGGTCATCGTCATGCCCGGCTAATTTATTGTGTTTTTTTGTAGATGCTCAGGGGTTGCAGGGAGGGGGATTTCTCACTATGTTGGCCAGGCTGGTCTCGAACTTCTGGCCTCAAGCAATCTGCCCGCCTCGGCCTCCTACAGTGCTCGGATTACATGAGTGAGCCACCTCGCAGGGCCTGCCCCTACTCTTCCCCCAGGCTGTATCCTTGGGTCCTGTACTCTGATCCCTCCATTGCTCTCTGGGCTTCATTTATGTCAGAGATGAATGGCCCACTTTTCACCATTAAAAAGTTACCATTCGGCCATGTCAAATACATAGTGAATTTTGATGACTTAATTTTTTAAAAATAAGTAAAATATCTCATTGATAATTTTTATATTAATTCCATGTTAACATGATTGTATTTTTTATATATTGGGTTAAATCAAATATATCATTAATACTTTTACTGTTTCTTTTTAATTTTTAAATTATTTATTTATTTATTTTTTGAGAGAGGGTCTCACTCTGTCACCCAGGATGGAGTGCAGTGGCGCAATCTTGGCTCACTGCAGCCTCAACTTCCGGGGCTCAAGCAATCCTCTTGCCTCAGCCTTCAAGTAGCTGGGACTACAGGGGCACACCACCATGCCCAGCTAATTTTTGTAGTTTTGGTAGGGATGAGGTCTCACTATGTTTCTAAGGCTGGTCTGAAACTCCTGGCCTCAATCAACCCTCCTGCCTTGGCCTCCCAAAGTTCCTTTTACTTTTTAAAATAGGGCTACTAGAGAATCTAGTAGTGGCTCCTGTTCCATTTCTTTTTTTCTTTTTCTTTTTTTTTTTTTTGAGACAGAGTCTCACTTTGTCACCCAGGCTGGAGTGCAGTGGCGCGGTCTCAGCTCACTGCAAGCTCCGCCTCCTGGGTTCGTGCCATTCTCCTGCCTCAGCCTCCTGAGTAGCTGGGACTACAGGCGCCCGCCACCACGCCCAGCTAACTTTTTTGTATTTTTAGTAGAGACGGGGTTTCACCGTGTTACAGGATGGTCTCGATCCCCTGACCTCATGATCCGCCCACCTCAGCCTCCCAAAGTGCTGGGATTACAGGCGTGAGCCACCGCGCCCAGCCTCCTATTCCATTTCTGTTGAGCAGCACTGTTCCAGATAACAGGACAACTTGCGTACATTATCTTCTAGAAACAGCAACACAGAAGAAGTGAAACTCAGGCCCCAGGTCCCACAGAGGCCTGAGTCAAAGGCTGGGGCTCCCTGAGGGGCGTGTGTGTCTGTGTGTGTTTCTCTGCTCACGTTACCTTCCCCGGCAGCTCCGAGGGGCGGCGGTGGTGGGGCCTCAACTGGGAGGGTCCCCTCTGGCTCTTGATCTCCATCCTCTCCTTTAACCTCCACAGACGGCGACAGTAGCGGGGGCTCAGCTGGGAGGGTCCCCTCTGGCTCTTGATCTCGGTCCTCTCCTTTAACCTCCACAGGCGGCGACAGTAGTGGGACCTCAACTGGGAGGGTTCCCTCTGGCTCTCGATCTCCATCCTCTCTTTTAACCTCCACAGGCAGCTCCTCTCCTCCACTTGGCTTTCCTGGGCAGAGCTCATCCTTGGCCTCAAAGCTTTCCTTAACAAATAGCTCCATCTTCTGCCTTGTTTCTCTGTCCCCGGGAGGCTCCTCCTTGCCTTCCTCACTGGCAGGCACGTTCTCACCATCGTCTGAAGATGTCGTCTCCCCTACTGGCGGAAAATGCAAAGGTGAATGTGGGAGTGTCCCAGGAGGACAAGGGTGTTCGTGCATACTTCAAGGGCTCACAGCAAACTTCTGAGACCAGGAACGAGGTCAGGAACACCATTTAAAAACGTGTCCTCGAGGGGCTGGGTGCAGTGAGTCGCACCTGTAATCCCAGCACTTTGGGAGGCCAAGGAGGGCGGATCACTTGAGGCCAGGAGTTCAAAACCAGGCTGGCCAACATGACGAAACCCCCTCTCCACTAAAAATACAAAAAATTAACCAGACGTGGTGGCACGCGCCTATAGTCCCAGCTATTCAAGAGGCTGGGGCAGGAGAATCGCTTGAACCTGGGAGGTGGAGGCTGCAGTGAGCCAAGATCGTGTCACTGCACTTCAGCCTGGAAGACAGAGCAAGACTCTGTGCCCAAAAAATAAATAAACAAATAAATAAGGAACACAGTTTAAAAAGTTTCTTCAAGGGGCTGGGCGTGGTAGCTCATGCTTGTAATCCCAGCACTTTGGGAGGCCCAGGCGGTCAGATCATTTGACGTCAAGAGTTCAAGACCAGCCTGGCAAACATGGTGAAACTTCGTCTCTACTAAAATAATAATAATAATAATAATAATAATAGCTGGGTGGGGTGGCACATGCCTATAATCCCAGCTACTAGAGAGACCAAGGCAGGAGAAGCGCTTGAACCCAGGAGACAGAGGTTGCAGTGAGTCACTGCATTCCAGTCTAGGTGACAGAGTGAGACTGTCTCAAAAAAAAAAAAAAAAAAAAGAAGTATCCTTGAGGGATGTTCATTAGTGTTGTTTACAGTGGATAATGACGGGAGCCAAATGCCCGTGAAGGCGCTGCCGAGCACAGCCCTTTAATGGAACAAGTTACAGCCATCAAGAAAGCAGAACACAAGAAGTTCTTAGGAGATGCATGCTGAAGCACTGGGGATTTAAAGGCTATGTCGTTTGCCTTTATCTTCAAATGGTTCAGGGGAAAAGCAAAGTGTCTGTGTGTGTGTGTGTGTGTGTGTGTGTGTGTGTGGCAAATATCTGTAGCAAATTATGAAAAACCACAGAATCTATTAACAAATGCAGACATACAACTATGTTTTACTATTTCAGCTTTTCTGAAAATTTTTAACATTTCAAAACAAAAAGTTGGGAAAAGACAAAATATATGTAGTAAGAAAATATCTATTGTATGGAAAATAGTTATAGTATGCTAATTCAAAAGACTAGACAGGAAGCAACATAATTATGCCATTTTTACATAAAAATGTGTATGTGGCCAGGTGCGGTGGCTCACATCTATAATCCCAGCACTTTGGGAGGCTGAGGCGGGAGGATTGCTTGAGGCCAGGAGTTTGAGACCAGTTTGGCCAACACAGCAAGGCCCTGTCTCTACAAAAAAAAAGAATACAAAAATATTAGCCAAAGATGTTCACACCTTAATCTTAGACTATGAATATGTTACCTTACACGGACAAAGGGACTGTGCAGATGTGATTAGGATCTAGAACCCTGAGATCAGGAAATTGTCCTGGGTTATCCAGGCAGGCTCAAAAGAATCACAAGGGCTCTCAGAATAGGGAGGCAGGCGTGTCAGAGCCAGAACGAGGCTGGAAGATGCCACACTGCTGGCCTGGAAGTTGGAGGAAGGGGCCACGAGCCAGGGAACGCAGGCGGCCTCTAGAGGTGGGAAAGGCAAGGAAGCGGGTTCTCCCCTGGGGCCCCCAGAAGGAGCACAACCCTGAGACACCTCAATTTTAGCTTAGTGAAACCCATTTTGGGCTTCTGACCCACAGAACTGCAATAAGGTAACAAATTTGTGTTTTTTAAGCCACTAATTTTGTGATAATTTGTTGTGGCTGCTATGAAATTACAAGATACATTTATCTCTGAAACAGAGCTCCTAAAACCCCGGTAGATAGGGGTGCTAGAAGGCTGTTTTGTTCTAATATTTTATCTTCGAGCCCAGGTCCTGGCACAGAGCTCCTAAGACCTTCGTCCAGGGTGACAGGAAGATCTTTTGTCTGAAGGGGCCCTTGGGGGCGGGGTGGCTTCCAGACCAGAGAGACCAAGTCGTGATGAGAGGCTTGGAGCTTTCAGCCCCACCCTCGTCCTTCAGAGAGGGCGGAGGGGCTGGAAATGGAGTTAATCATCCATCATGCCCACGTGTTGAAGCTTCCGGAAAACCCCCTGAACTGTGGGGTTCAGAGAGCTTCCGAGTTGCTGAACACTGGAGATATCTGGAGTGGGGTGTGGCCAGAGAGGGCGTGAAGCTACGCCCCTTCCCACAGACCCTTCCCTAAGCTCCACTTCATCCCGCTGTTCATCTGCATCCCTTATCGTATCCTTTATTAATATAATAACCCAGAAAATATAAGTGTTCTCTGGAGTTCTGTGAGCCATCAGAGCAAAGTATCAAACCCAAAGGGAGTGTCATGGGAACCCTAATTTTATGGCCATTCTGTTAGAAGTACAGGCGACACCCTGGGACTCGCAGTTGCATCAGAAGTGGGGAGTAATCTCGCAGGACCATTGTCCATCACCTGTGGGGTTAGTGTCAGGATGGAAATGAATTGTAGGACACCCGGCTGGTGTCAGAGAATCGGTGGGTGTGGGGACACCCTGCACATTTGGTGAGCACAAGTCTGCCGGGTGTTGAGAGTGTGGTAGAAGAAAACAACCTATTTGAGTTTTCCTACTTTCAGCAGCCGCAGAAAACTAATAGGTCATTTATTTTGAAAAACTGTGTTTCAACCAGTAAAAGTGGTTGGAAACAGCTCATCACCGTTCCAGGTTCTCACTGGTGCTGGCAGGTGGGTGAGGCCAACTGCAGATGGATCTGCAGGTTGTGAGGAAATGGTTTAAAAAAAATCCCTGGCCAGGTGCAGCAGCTCACGCCTATAATCCCAGCACTTTGGGAGGCCAAGGTGGGTGGAGCACTTGAACCCAGGAGTTTGAGACCAGCCTGGGCAACATAGTGAGACCCCACCTCTACGGAAAAAAAAAAAAATTAATTAGCTAAGCTTGATGGTGCACACCTGTAGTCCCAGCCACTTAGGAAGCTGAGGTGAGAGGATCACTTGAGGTGGAGGTTGCAGTGAGCCAAGATTGTGCCACTGCACTCTAGCCTGGGCAACTGAGTGAGATCTTATCCCCACCAAAAGAAAAAAAAAGAAAGAAAAAAAGAAAATCCAAGGCTGGGCACAGTGGCTCATGCTTGTAATCCCAGCACTTTGGTAAGCCAAGGTTGGCAGATGACTTGAAGTCAAGAGTTCGAGACAAGCCTGGACAACATGGCAAAATCCCTTCTCTACTGAAAATACAAAAATTAGCCAGGAATGGTGGTACGTGCCTGTAATACCAGCTCTGGGGAGGCTGAGGCACAAGAATTGCTTGAACCCGGGAGACAGAAGTTGCAGTGAGTCAAGATCACGCTGCTGCACTCCAACCTGGGCGACAGAGCGAGACTCTGTCTAAAAAAAAAAAAAAAAATCCCCAAGATTAAAGAGTAAGTTTGACAGCTTAGACTCGCCTAATCTCAAAGGAACTCTGGGGCTGTTGTCTTCGGCCCAGCACATACCTCTCTCTTGACTCTCTCTCTGTCTTTTCCTCTCCTCCGCCCGCCGCTTGATCATGGCCAAGGCTTCAATGCTGTCTGTGATCTTCTTCCGCTCCCTGCTCTCCCACTGCTGTCTCTCCTCCTTTTCAGCTGCGTACCCTCCCCTAGCCCAGGCCTCCGCACAAGCTCTGTTTAAAAAAAACAAAGAAACATAAATAGGGAAGGTGAACTCCAAACATACACTCTCTGATCAACTTGCTCATTTTCTTCAAAATCAAAGCAAAGTGAGCATCAGACATGTGACTGCAAGGATGAAAGTTACACGTGTGAATTTTATTATTTAAGGTGGAACGGTCTGCACAGTCTTCTTAGATATGACACCAAAAGCACAAGTGACAAAAGAAAAAATAGAGAAATCGGATTCCATCAAAATTAAAAATGTTTGTCATGCAAAGAATACCATAAATAAAGTATTATTAAAAAAAAAAAAAAAAAGCCAGCAGGACACACTGGCTCACGCCTGTAATCCTAGCACTTTGGAGGCCAAAGTGGGATGATCACTTGAGCCCAGGAGTTTGAGATCAGCCTGGGCAACACAGCGAGACCCTGTGTCTACCGAAAAAAAGTAAAAAGACAACTCAAAGAATGTGAGAAGATATTTGCAAATCATATATTTGATAATGGTCTTGTACCTAGAAAATATAAATAAGGCCGGGCGCGGTGGCTCAAGCCTGTAATCCCAGCACTTTGGGAGGCCGAGACGGGCGGATCACGAGGTCAGGAGATCGAGACCATCCTGGCTAACACAGTGAAACCCTGTCTCTACTAAAAAATACAAAAAACTAGCCGGGCGAGGTGGCGGGCACCTGTAGTCCCAGCTACTCGGGAGGCTGAGGCAGGAGAATGGCGCGAACCCGGGAGGCGGAGCTTGCAGTGAGCTGAGATCCGGCCACTGCACTCCAGCCTGGGCGACAGAGCGGGACTCCGTCTCAAAAAAAAAAAAAAAAAAAAAAGAAAATATAAATAAGCCTCACAACTCATTAATAGAAAGATGACACAATTTCAAAATGACCAAAGTTTAGGCAGTGCATGGTAGCTCACACCTGTAATCCCAGCACTTTGGGAAGAGGAGGTGGGTGGATCACCTAAAGTCAGGAGTTCAAGACCAGCCTGGCCAACATGGAGAAAGCCCGTCTCTACTAAAAATCCGAAAATTAGCTGGGCATCGTGGCACGCAACTGTAGTCCCAGCTACTCGGGAGGCTGAAGGAGGAGAATCGCTTGAACCCACGAGGCAGAGGTTACAGTGAGCTGAGATCACACCACTGCACTCCAGCCTGAGTGACAGAGTAAGATTCTACCCCCCCCAAAAAAATGAGCAAAGTTTTAAAAAATGAGAAGACAGGCTACAGACTGGGAGAAAATATTTGCAAAAAAAAAAAAAAAAAAATGGTATCCGGGAAAGGGCTTGGATCCAAAACATACAAATAACTTTTAAAATTCAAAGATAAGGAAACAACCCAATAAAAAACCGGGCAAACGATCAAGATACCTCACCAAAAAAGATATACAGATGGCAAATAAGCCTGTGAAAAGATGCTCCACATCACGTGTCCTGGGGAAATGCAAATTAGAACAATAAGATAACATGATGTGGCTATAAGATGGCTAAAATCCAAAACACTGGCAATGCTGTGCTAATGAGGATGTGGAGTGCTGGGAACTCTCACTTGTTCCTAGGGGGAATGCAAAATGGTACAGCCACTTTGGAAAATGGTGTGGCGGATTCTTACAGGACTAAAAATACTCTCACCATATGATCCAGCAATTGTGCTTCTAATTATTTACCCAAATGAATTGAAGACTTATGTCCACACGCAAACCTGCACATGGATGTTTACAGCAGTTTTATTCTAATTGGCAGAAATTAGAAGCGACCAACATATCCTTTAGTAGGTGAATGGATAAACAAACTCTGGCACACCCAGATGGAGGAATATCACTCAGCAGTGAAAAGAGATGAGCTGTCAAGCCACACGAATTCATGGAAGAAGCCTAACTTCATTGCTAAGTGAAAGAAGCCGGTCCATAAAGGCTATATGCTGTATGATTCCAGCTATATGACTTTCTAGATAAGGCAAAATCACGGAGACGGCAAAAAGATCAGTGTTGCCAGGAGTTGGGGCTGAGGAGGTGGGAGGGATGAATAAGCAGAGCACAGAGGGTTTTAGGGCAGTAAAACTATTCTGTGAGATACTGTGATGGGGGATACATGACATGATACCTTTGTCCAAACCCATACAATGTGCAACACCAAGCATGAGCCCCAAAGAAATGATGGACTTCAGTCAATAATAAGGTACCAGCATTGGTTGATCGCTTGTCACAAATGTCCCACACGAATGTAACACGTTACAAATAGGAGAAACTGTGAGGGTGGGTGGTATATGGGAACTCTCTTTACTTTCTGCTCAATTTTTCTGTAAATCTAAAACTGCTCTGAAAATAAAGTCTAGGCCAGGTGCAGTGACTCATGCCTGTAATCTCAGCACTTTGGGAGGCCAAGGTGGGCAGATGACTTGAGCCCAGGAGTTCCGGACCAGCCTGGGCAACATGGCGAGACCCCATCTCTACAAAAAGCACAAAAACTAGCCAGGCGTGGTGGTGCACACCTGCAGTCCCAGCTACTCAGGAGGCTGAGAGGTGAAAGGGTTACTTGAGCCCAGGAGGTGGAGGCTGCAGGGAATCATGATTGCAGCACTATACTCCAGCCTGGGCGACAGAGCGAAACGCTGTCTCAAAAAAAAAAAAAAAAAAAAAAAGTCTGTTAGAAGTCTATTATATTTTTTAAAAATCAGCAAAGAAACTGAACAGGCATTTCTCCAAAGAAGACATAAAAACTGCCAATAAGTACATGAAAGATGCTTCATTATCTACCAGGGAAAAGCAAATGGAAACCACAGTGACGCACCACTTCATACCATCCAGGGGACTAGAAATAAAAAGACAGAGCCGGGTGCGGTGGCTCACCCCTTTAATCCCAGCACTTTGGGAGGCTGAGGCAGGTGGATCACGAGGTCAAGAGATTGAGACCGTCCTGACCAACATGGTGAAACCCTGTCTCTAATAAAAATAGAAAAATTAGCTGGGCATGGTGGCTGATGCTTCTAATCCTAGCTGCTAGGGAGGCTGAGGCAGGAGAATCGCTTGAACCTGGGAGGCGGAGGTTGCAGTGAGCTGAGATCTCACTGCTGCACTCCAGCCTGGGTGACAGGATGAGACTCCATCTTAAAAAAACAAAAAGAGAGAAAAAGACAGGCAATCAGAAGTATTGGTGAGGATACGGGAAAACTGGAACCCTCCTACACTGCTGATGGGGATGTAAAATGGTGCAGCTGCTTTGGAAAACAATGTGGTGTCTCCTCAAAAATTAAACAAAGTCCCTGTATGACCCAGAAATTCCACTCCTAGATACGTACCCAGAAGAAGACAACAGCTGTCCACACAAAAACTTCATTATTGACAATAGCCAAAAAGTGAAAAGAACCCTAATTTCCAAAAGCTGATGGACAAATACAATGTAGTGTATCAAAATGCAGTATCATGTGGCAATAAAAAGGAGTGAAGTACTGGATGGAGCACGCCACATCGCAGATGAACCCTGACAACACGACGTTAAGTGAAAGAAAAAAAAGGCCACATGGTGGGTGACTCCATTTATATGAAATGTCCAGAACAGGCAAATCAACAGAGAGGAAAAGGAGAGAAGTAGCTGCCAGGGCCTTCAGGGAGCGAGAAATAGGGGGTGGGCTGCTAATGGGGATGGTTTTTTTTGTTTTTGTTTTTGTTTTTTGGGACAGTCTCGCACTGTCACCCAGGTTGGAGTGTGGTGGCGCAATCTCGGCTCACTGCAACCTCCACCTCCCGGATTCAAGCGATTCTCTTGCCTCAGCCTCCCGAGTAGCTGGGACTACAGGCGCCTACCACCACGCCCAGCTAATTTTTGTACTTTTAGTAGAGATAGGGTTTCACCATGTTGGCCAGGATGGTCTTGGTCTCTTGACCTCATGATCTGCCCACTCTGGCCTCCCAAAGTGCTGGGATTACAGGTGTGAGCCACCATGCCCAGCCAGTGTTTCTTTTTCTTTTTTTTTTTTTTTTTTTGAGATGGAGTCTCGCTCTGTTGCGCAGGCTGGAGTGCAGTGGTGTGATCTCAGCTCGCTGCAAGCTCCACCTCCCGGGTTCATGCCATTCTCCTGCCTCAGCCTCCTGACTAGGTGGGACTACAGGCACCCACCACCATGCCCAGCTAATTTTTTCTATTTTTTAGTAGAGACAGGGTTTCACCATGTTACCAGGATGGTCTCGATCTGCTGACCTCGTGATCCGCCTGCCTCGGTCTCCCAAAGCGCTGGGATTATAGCTGTGAGTCACCATGCCCGGCCCAGTGTTTCCATTTTAGAGTGATGAGAATGTTCTAAAATTGATTGTGGTGATGGTTGCATAACTCTGTGAATATACTCAAAGCCATTGCATTGTACACTTTGTTTTTTATTTTTATTTTTATTTTTTTATTTTATTTTTTTTTGAGAGGGAGTCTCCTGACCTCAAGTGATCCACCCCCCTCAGCCTCCCAAAGTGCTGGGATTACAGCCGTGAGCAACTGCGTCCAGCCACATTGTACACTTGAAATACATAAACTGTATGGTATGTGAATAATACCTCAACAAAGTTGTTATTTGAAAAATAAAGTCTGGTGGTTTAAAAACAGGAGGCTTACCTTCAGAGAGAAGCAGCAGATCCCTGCTGTAAAATCAAAGGTACAGGTGTTTGGAAATAGTCGGACAGGGTGTTGCAAAGTATACTATAGCAGAGAAAGACCACGAGTCACTGAGACAGAAAATGCTAAGGAGAATAAACCATGCTCCAGTCCATTTACCACACAGTGAGAAAACCTCAGAGCCTTTGATCTCAGAGCAGACAGCCAGCAAAGGCCTAGCTGTTGCCTGCTATGTGCCAGGCACTGTTCTAGAGGCTGGGGACCCAGCAGTGAGTGTCAGAGCTCATCTCTGTTAGAGGAGCCCTTTTAGTCTGGGAAGAAGATCCTAAACAAAGAAATGAGTGTATGTCAGTGGCTGATGTGTCCTAAGAGGAAATTAATTCAGGCTGAAAAGACATCAAGTGGAGAAGGCACTATTTACATGGGTTATGGAGAGTGCGTTAATGACAGGTGAGCAGATGCCTGCTGCATCCTAGATGACAGCAAGTACCCAGTGTCAAACAATTCGTCAGTGGTTGGATTAAGATTCAATGCCAGGGGTGTGGCGGCTCATGCCTGTGAGGCTTTGGGAGCCTCAGAGCTTTGGGAGGCCAAGGCAGGAGGATCACCTGAGGCCAGAAATTTGAGACCAGCCTTGGCGACATAGTGAGACGCCCATCTCTACAAAAAACTTAAAAATTAACTGGGTTTAGTGATGTACGCTTGTAATCTCAGTTACCTGGGAGGCTTGTGTGAACCCAGGAGTTTGAGGCTGCAGTGATGGCGCCACTGCCCAGGTGACGGAGTACAATCCTGTCTCTAAAAAAAGATTCAAGCCAGGTTAATCTGACTCCTGAGCTGGAGTCTTGGGCTATGCTGTAAAGGACAGTGGCTCCTATTGCTCATATCCACGTTACTTTCCTCAGCATGGCCCCCGGGTTGGGGGCAGCCTCTTCAGTGGCAGCTGCTCCCACTGGTTCACTCCTAGGAGCCCAGCACCTGCTCAGAGTCCTGCATGTTGCTCATAGGCACTCACAAGGACCCTGTGGCAACAATATTCTCATCCCCACTCTGCAGATGTGGAACGTGCGCCCAGGGAGGTTAGGGAGCTCCCCCAAGGTCGTAACGTAGCACGTGGCTGCAGAGCTGGCTTGGGAGTCAGGCCCCTGCACACTGGCTGCTCTCCCTGTCCTCACCACCCCCAGACCTGGGGCCCAGGGAGCTGGGTCAATTTCTGTTGAACCTCCCAGAAGCAGGTCTTATTTTCTTACCTGGCTAAAGTGGAAGCTCTATTGGAAATATTTATTAGTTTGATTTAAATTTGTGAGTTTAAAAACATATTACAAGCTACATTGATCTTAAATGTTGTATAATGCAAAATTCAGATTGTCCTTCTCATCAAGTAGCCTATATGACTGATATTTTATTCTAATTAGAATTACTAAAGTGATCTAAATTTAAAAGTAAGTTAAAAACACAGATAAAAGCAGTGACGATAAACATGGCAGTCCAGGGTGCAATGTTCCTAATATTAAAGAAACTCTTACAAATCGGTAAGAAAATCACTTTAGAAAGAAACTTGGAAAAAGTCATGGACAGAATATTCATAAAGGAGGAAATATAAGTGTCCAGTAACAATGAAAACAATGCCCAACTTCATCAATTACCCAAAAATGGCAATTTAAAACAACAGGGTACTATCTTCACCCATTAACTAACTTGGCAAAGATTTCTTTTCATGGTTATGTTCTGTGAGGTTGTAAACTGATACAAACTCTCTAGAAAACAACTAGAAAATATTTGTAAGAGTTTTTACAAAGTCTGAAACCGCATTCTTCAAAGCAGTGATGCTACTCCCAAAATTCCATTCCAAGGAACTCATCAGCAAAGAGGTAAACCACCAATGCAAAGATACTTATCAAAGGAATATAAAAATCTATGAATAAGTGCTTAAATTCCCATTATAGTCAATTATGTCGCCATCAAGCCTATTTCCAAAGAACGTTTTTGATATGTGAAATTGCTCAAGAATCAGAAATTTAAAAAGTTTAATATTAAGCATGGTCAACTATTAAATATTAAAATGTGATCAGAAGGCTTTTCTCTTCTTACCTGTCCTTTGGAAACACTGGTCTATCATCCAGGTATGTTAAGTGCTTTAGTCGTACAGTGACTGTCCTTCTATAATTAGGAATGTGTCTGATAACCGGGTTTCCCATCAAATTCAGTACACGCTGCAAGAAGACAAGCAGAACCAAAATGATTACTGAAAGATGCGACTGAATTATTTGATATGTGCTGTGCACTAAGAATAAATGAACAAAATCTAGAGAAGTGCCAATATCACATCCTGGTAACTTGATGGGAGAAATCAGAAGGTTTCCATTGCTCTCACGCTATCAGAGCTGTCTAGATCATTCAGCAGCCCTTTCCTCCACTTGAACTTCAGATCTTAGATCTCATTGTCCCTCCAGAACAATACTGGAAAACATTTTCTGAGGCTTTTTCTGAGAGCAGTTGATTATATTAGTTTTGCTACCCAACCTCTTTTACTGAAATGAATCTCTGCCTAATTGATTGTTTTCTTTTCTTCCCAGCCAGGATCCATTTTAAGAAAACGCACACAGCTGCTAGACAGAGAAGCAGCAGTGACTAAGGGAAAGGATGGAGAGTGCCCGCTTACTTCTGCTGAGTGCCACAGGATGGAGGGCCCTTCTCCCTCAGCTTACAGCTCTCCCTGCTGTCAGTTAGGACCAGGGAGGAGGAAGGGGTTCAGCAATCCCACCTGCCATCCTCCCCCATTTTTAAATACTGTCACCTCCTCTACTGCCTTAAGAAACTCAAAGACGTTGGCCGGGCGTGGTGGCTTACGCCCGTAATCCCAGCACTTTGGGAGGCCGAGGCGGGTGGATCACGAGGTCAGGAGATTGAGACCATCCTGGCTAACATGGTGAAACCTCGTCTCTACTAAAAATACAAAAAATTAGTCAGGCGTGGTGACGGGCGCCTGTAGTCCCAGCTACTCGGGAGGCTGAGGCAGGAGAATGGTGTGAACCCGGGAGGTGGAGCTTGCAGTGAGCCGAGATTGTGCCACTGCATTCCAGTCTGGGAGACACAGCGAGACTCCGTCTCAAAAAAAAAAAGAAAAAGAAACTCAAAGAGGTTGAATGCTTAGAGGGGCTGGGCTTGGTGGCTCACTCCTGTAATTCCAGCACTTTGGGAGGCTGAAGTGGGTGAATCACTTGAGGTCAGGGGTTCGAGACCAGCCTAGCCAACATGGTTAAACCCCATCTCTACTAAAAATACAAAAATTAGAGGGGTGTGGTGGCGAGCACCTGTAATCCCAGCTACTCAGGGGCCTGAGGCAGAAGAATCACTTGAACCCAGGAGGCGGAGGCTGTAGTAAGCCGAGATTATGCCACTGCACTCCAGCCTGGGTGACAAAGCAAAACTCCATCTCAAACAAAAAAAAAAAAAAAAAAAAGAAGTTGAACGCTTAAGGCAACATGAGGGTGAACCATTTCAAAATCTGTCTGCCTAAACCGATGGAATATTTTTCATATCTAAAGTGTTTCTTTGTTGAAGATATCGTAAACGAGTTAGTTTAGCATTTCCCAAACTTCATTCTCATGCTGTCTTTACCATTCTTGCTCTATTTTCAAGTGACTTACCCTGCACAGGGTGGGGCGGTGGGAGCAATACACCCAGACAGCAATAAAGGGGTACACGGTGTGGGGAGGATTTAAATGCAGTCACAAAATAACTATTAATATAAAGCAACCTGTTTCCTTCTGGGCTGAATTGTGTCCTAATCAAAATTCACATGTTAAAGTCCCTCAGCACCTCAGAATGTGACTGTATTTGGAGATAAGACTTTTAAAGCCATGATGAAGTTGAAATGAGCCCATTAGGATAGGCCCTAATCCAATCTTACTGGTGTCCTTAGGAGAAGAGAGTAGGACACAGCACATAGGGAGGGACCGTGTGAGGACCCAGAGAGAAGACGGCCCTCTACCAGCCAAGGAGAGGACTCTGGAGAACCCAGCCCTGCCCACACCTTGCTCTTGACGTTCAGTCTCCAGAATTATGAGAAAATAAATTTCTTTTTCTTTTTTTTTTTTTTTTTGAGATGGAATCTAGTTCTATTGCCCAGGCTGGAGTGCAGTGGCGCGATCTCGACTCACTGCAAGCTCCACCTCCCAGATTCACGCCATTCTCCTGCCTCAGCCTCCCAAGTAGCTGGGACTACAGGTGCCCACCACAATGCCTGGCTACTTTTTTGTATTTTTAGTAGAGCCAGGGTTTCATCATGTTAGCCAGGATGGTCTCGATCTCCTGACCTTGTGATCCGCCTGCCTCGGCCTCCCAAAGTGCTGGGATTACAGGCGTGAGGCACCACACACAGCCACGAAAAAGTATATTTCTATTGGTTAAGCCACCCGGTACTTATGGCAACCCCAGCCAAAACAAAAACGAACAAATGGGAGGATTGTAATATAATAGAGCTTTCTATTCTCACCATGCACTGCAGTTCTAAACTAGTCTTTTGATGGTACATGCTACAGATTGTTCCCGAACTATGATTTGCTTTCAGTTGACTCGCTTTTCTCCGTGTTTATCAATGCACTAAGCGGTATACAATAAACTCAAGGGTTTTGTGTGCTAGTTTTAGAATTTTTTTCCTAGTACACGTTAACACATAGACACTAAGAAGCAAGGAAGCTGTCAAAGGTACTAGAGAGGACTTAAAAGGACTTGGGAAGCAAGCCAAAGGATGAGAATTTTTTTTTTTTAGACAGTGTCTCATTCTGTCTGGAGTGCAGTGGTGAGATCTCAGCTCACTGCAACGCCTCCCGGGTTCAAGCAATTCTTATGCCTCAGCCTCCCAAGTAGCTGAGATCACAGACGTGCATCAACATACCCAGCTAATTTTTGTATTATTATTAGGGATAGGGTTTCACCATGTTGACCAGGCTGGTCTCAAACTCCTGGCCTCAAGTGATCTGCCCACCTTGGCCTCCCAAAGTGCTGGGATACAGGTGTGAGCCACCATACCTCACCTGGATGGGAAAATTTGAACATGAAAAATTAAAGTGACTGCAAGAGTTAAATCTTGTCAAATACTGTATATATAAATGCATGCATTCATAATGATACTAAAAAAAGAAAGGCTTCATTGTCGCCATGAAAGGTTGCTAGGGTCTCAATTCATTTTACTGAAAATTGATAAATAACCAGCCTGAGCAATATGGCAAAACCCCATCTCTACAAAAAATATAAAAATTAGCCGGATGTGGTGGTGTGCACCTGTGTTCCCAGCTACTTGGAGGCTAAGGTGGGAGAATTGCTTGAGCCCGGGAGGTCGAGGCTGCAGTGAGCCATGATTATACCACTGCACTCCAGCCTGGGTGACAGAGCAAGACCCTGTCAAAAAAAAAAAAAAGAAAGGAAATAAAAAGAAAATTGATAAATAAAAGGGCCAAACATTGATCCTGGCCTTTTCTGCATGAACTGCATGAACCGCTAGTTGGTGAGTGAAAGCTCTTTGTAGAAGCATTCTAGCTGAAGCATTCTAGCTAACAAATGCTGAGAGAGTGAGAGAACTGGAAAGCTGTCATTGTGTGACTCCTCATTAAATAATTCATCTAGGCAACTTTCATCAGTGACTGCTGAAATAACTGGGACAAGGACTGATGGGAAACTTGATAATGGCTGGACAAGGCTGACAACATCTGAACCCACTAGTGAATCTTAAAATGACAAAAGGAGGCCGGGCGCGGTGGCTCAAGCCTGTAATCCCAGCACTTTGGGAGGCCGAGACGGGCGGATCACGAGGTCAGGAGATCGAGACCATCCTG